CCCTGGATCCCTGGAAGTGTCCAAGGCCAGGTTGGACGGAGCTTGGAGCAACCTGGGCTGGTGGAAGGTGTCCCTGCCCATGGCAGGGGGTGGGACTGGATGTTCTTTAAAATCCCTTCCAACCAAACCATTCCATAATTCCGTGTCCCCCAGAACTGAAGCGACCACTCTCAGTGACAGTCCCAGTGGCCCTGCTCAGTTCACTGATCCTGCAGAGCAAAAATGAAGTCATACCTTGCCATAGGAGTGACAGCCCTGCAAATCCCTCCCAGACTGGGCAGATTCCCACAGCCTGCTCTGCTGAAATCAGGGGAATTTAATTAGACTTGTCTGAATCCACATTCCCTGGCTGGGAATAGACCTGGCTCCAGGTTAGTAATGTATATTTGCAAGGTTAATAATGGAGATGTACAAGGAGGAGAGCTGTCGTGGAATGTGATGTCTGTGTCTCATCCTGGGGTGCTGCAGCACTAATTCTTCAAGGCCCTGAGTCTGCTTGGCCGTGCTTATTTCCAAGGCAATTCGGGAGTCGTTTGAAGAGGAATTTGGTGCTGGAGACAGAAGCAAAGCATGTTCAAGCTGATCACTGTTAGCAAGTCTTGCAGGGCTTTCTCCTGTCGTCTGGAAAGACATCCCGAGCTGAGCCTCCATGGCTGCTGGGTGCAGAAATACAGCATAAACCTGCATTATTTTATAACCCACAGGCAGTTCCCAGCCCATCCCACACCCTCATCCCCAGGATCTCCCCGCAGGAACTCCGGTCTGATGGGGTCCCAGGAAATGCCGGGTCCCGTCTCTCCGCGGGACTAAAAGGAGATCTCAGCGCTGGGGAGGGGGGGTTTGTTCCCAGGACTGGAGCCAGAATGCTCCTGATTCCTGAGGGGGAACGGGGTGGCCCGGAGATCGGGTGACGGCTCCGCTCTCACCTTACACCCGCGGGGCTGTGTCTGCTGCGGGCTGTGCCGGGGGCTCCGTGTGTCCCCTGGGCTGTGCCGGGGGCTCCGTGTGTCCCCTGGACTGTGCTGTGAGGGCTGTGTGTGTCCCCTGGGCTGTGCCGGGGGCTGTGTGTGTCCCCTGGGCTGTGCTGGGGGCTCCGTGTGTCCCCTGGGCTGTGCCGGGGGCT